TGGTGTTGCGATGCCCCGGGTGAGGTGATGCCCGGCCGTGCTCTGCAGATCAATATACCTCCCTATCAACTGACCCTCGGTCTACAGCTGCCGATCTACCAGGTGAGTGCACTACCCCAGGGGGCATTGCCCATGGCAGATGCCAAAGGTAGAAACACGTCCGCTTGTCCATGTCATCTGAAGCTAAAGAATTCATAAAAGTAGTGAGAATGTTAAGGGGTTGCGTTCTCCACATAAACGACATATGGTACTGAGGCATCTCAAACGCATGAACGCGGACATAGCGCTCTTACAGGAGACTCACCTCCGAGAGGAGGATATGCACAGACTCAAAAAACTATAGGTGGGGGAAAATGTTTGGCTCTCCCTCAGAGGGGAGGCGGGCAGGAGTGGCGATTCTGTTGCATAGGAGACTCCCCTGCCAGGTGGACAGGATCGAGCATGACGATGAAGGACGCATGCTCACGATTTATCTCAAATATTTTGATGTGGAGTTGGCGATTTCAAATATCTACATGCACAACTCACCGACCAAATCACATTTCATGCATTTATCGTCCTGGCTAGCAAAAACTACCAACTTACACCACCTGGTGGGGGGAGACTTTAATTGCACCATGAATAATATAGAGGATGGGAAAAGATCGCCCACCTCTCACGGCACCCGGCAGCCCAACTGTTCAATAACACAATCCCCTCTGGCGGAGGTGGCCTCGGCTTTGGTACTACAGGACATGTGGAGGATCTTGCATCCTCTGGAGTCCGAGAGAGAGAGATGGAGAGAGATGGAGAGAGAGAGAGATGGAGGGGGATGGAGGGGTGGAGAGGTGGAGAGGTAGAGAGGTAGAGAGAGAGACACACACTCACAGTCAGAACCATATCCTGACAATCGAGGGAAATTTCCTTTTGGTGAACTGGAGCCTGACAGGGATGGAACCTGGCTCCCATGCAAAACCAGAAGAGGTTCTTTGCAGGATAAAGAAGAAAATTATATACAACAGAGAAAGGCCATAGGCACTAGATATGACCGATTTCTTGAATTGTTTTAACCATGTTGGAGGTAGAGTGGATGTTTATAGTCTCTATACATCCATTTCCCATGATGTTGCATTGATCGCAATTAAGGATTGACAGATATGAGTCTACTAAAGCACTTAAAGCATTTGTGCCACAACTGGCAATCCTAAAATGGAACTAGTTTTTGACAATTCTTTCAGCAACTGCAAGGAACCTCTCTCCTGGTTCCAATGCGGCACCAAGTTATGCCAACCTCCTTGTGGTGGACCTTGACTGACAGAGGTCGGAAAAACCAGATCTCAATCTTCCCTGCACTACATGACAAGTCAATGTGTAGTATGCGTATACTACCATGACAGGTTTTATTCATATGCTTGTTTCAAGTCGACTCCCATAATTTTAATGTACATGGGTTCCTTATAGGAGGAGTCCCCAGAGCAGGACCTGAAAAGGAGAACTTTCTGATTCAAGTCCCTGCTCTGCTGACTGACAGCAGGCAGTGGGCTGGGGCAATAACCATTCTGTTATTGGCTATTGCAATTTGAAATAGCCAATAGCTGGCTATTGCTACCAGTAATAAAGTTTAAAAAAAAAAAAAAAAAAAAGTTACTCAAATTAAAAATCCCACCCAAAAAATGTAAGTCCCCACGAACATAAAAAAAAACCCAAACCAACCTACCTCCTAGTTTTCACAGAAAATGTGTCAAGCCACACTATAGAGTATCAGCACTAAATAGCCACCACTAACACAAACAGATTTACCTGGTAATCACTAGTTGAGGCTTTATATGCTGCGGCAAGAGGTCTCATTGTTGATCTAGGAGTAGAGAGTGGTTGGGTAGGGGTACCTAATGTTTTAATTGGAGGTGTGAAGACAGAGTTGACTGAAGACAATGAGGTCCTTTCACCACTTTCCATTATGCTCTAAATGTGAAAATGTACATATTGCATGTGGTCAATGACATATGACTGTAAACTATAAAGCATTACAGAATGAAAGTATTAACGCTGGGGAATCCTAGTGATTGTCATCAGAATTTACCCAATATAAATAGCCATCAATGGTCAAACGAGTACTCCAGAGGAAATACTTTGCATATATGGTTCTTAGTTACTATTAATGAATGTGGCAAATCAAGTTCTTAGGCACATCACAAAAAGGACACGTAAAAGGTTGCATATGATTCTGCCACTCTCCATCTTCTCAGTGAAATCCTTAATCAGAATTCTTGCCCCTCCCCCCACTTCCTAGGTGTCATCATTTCCTATGCAAGCACCTTATGGATCAGCAACATTTTCAGCCCTGTAAGCATGCCACTACGTGAAAGCACAAGGCATAAGTCAGGCTGCACTGCCACAAATAAGACATGCACCCTCGTGTATGTGGCAAGTACACAACAAAAAGTGGGCACATGCAGACCTGTAACAAAGGCGATTTTTAACTGTACTTCACAAAAACATCAATACAGCCCTCCCATAGGAGATGCGCAGAGGAAAAAGAAATATATGTAGTAAATATCGATATTGCATATCATTTATTACTCAAAAAAAAAAAGCCCTAAATAAATCGAACCATATACCTGGCTGAGTATGGTTTATTTAGATCGGTTTTCTTTGAGTAATAAATTATATGCAATATAGATCCACATATTTCTTTTTGTCCCGGGTATCGCCTATTATTCAAGGGCTATATTGATGATTTTGTGAGTATTACAAAATTTTTCCAGAGAAACGATAGGTTTAGGTTTACATAAATTACACACCCACTGTTTTGCCCTCTATTTTTTTGGAAAGACTAATATTCTGAAAGTCTGCCAAAAAATACCACCAAAAGAAAGCTCTATCTGTCCCCAAAAAAGGGTATAAAATTAATTTCAGTACAGCGCTGCATGACGGAATAAATGTCAGTTAAAGTACCGCAGCGCTGAATACTGAAAAATGGCCTGGATGGAAGGGGGTTTAACACCGCGGATGTCAACTGGTTAAAAAAAGGAAAAAAAAAAAAAAAAAGGAGACATATAGCAGTCTTACCTTATCTATGCAAGGTTTCACACCAACCATTACGCAGTCACCAAATATTTTGCCATCTTTACTTAAAGCCTTCCTGGCTTGTAATTTGGACTGATATTGCACATGCATCCAGTTTCCAGTATTGGACATCTGTAAAAGAAGGGGGAATTACTATCAACAGACTATCTTTCTTAAAGCAGCCTTAAGTAAGATTGTGTGGGGATAACACACACACTTACCACATGCTTTATTATATTCCCGTACTGAGCAAACTGCAACAGAACATACGACGCCGAGGCCTGAGGAAACCTGAAAGTCAAAAAAAATTTTCTTAAAAAAGAGGTTTCATTAAAAACATGCTTGCATCCACAGAACTAAAGTCCATGATCTATGCTATACATCTCTTTAAAAACATACAGTAGGCATTAGCGATGGCTTGTAATACAATCCATAGTCACAGAATGTGTACAGATAACACATAGTCCAACTATGGTTATTTACCAAGACCTTTACAGAGCTGCTAACTTTTAAAATCTGCTGGAAGACTTCGGTCTGCATAGTGGGTGATAAAAATGTATTGGACTATACTTCACTAATAAAATTAGAAAGGTGGACAGCAATAGCAGGCACCACATTACTTTAGTGGCCAAGTACACTTTACTGAAAAATGTTAACTACCCTAAAGTGGAAGCTACCAAAGCTAAATACTGGTATAAAAATCCAGAGATGGAAAAGGCTACTCGCCAACTCTAGGGAAGAGTTCTGACCCTGCAAATGACATCACTACCTCTAGAACAAGTAAGCAGAACAGGAACTAGAGAACAGCATATTCCGTCAGTGATCTCACATAGGCATAATGTTTCCTGTAAATCCCGTGTGTCTCACAGTCAGCCTTGCTGAGTTGATGGTACAAAATGACAGAACCAAGGATAAAGGCAGGGGGAAGATTAAAATACTAATCAAGGCAGGGTATTTTTTGCCACAATGCACTCTGCATTAAGGTAAAAACCACCAAATACCATAGGATCCTTCAGCCATCAACCTGATGGGCCGAGAGGAGGGGGTGTGGCCTGCTGTAGGGCTGTTTGTCTATGGATGCACACAGCCACTTGTGGGAACGGCCGGGAGTGAGCACACACACAGGTGCCTCCAAACATCCTCAAATCATCTCTGAATTCAGCTGACACTGTCCTTCCTTCTGGAGGGGGGCTACCTTTGTTCCCCCATGGTCCCTGTGTGTAAAGTAGCCACCGCTGCAAGCTCACTCCCATGATGTACTACAATCTCATTTAGTTAACCAAAAAAAAAAAAAAGAAGAAAAATGAGTTAAAAGGGGAGAAGGGAAAGAAGTTAATTAGGGCTGATTAGGAGTTATATAGGAACAGTTTTTATTTAAATTTTTTACTCATCAGGTTTATTTTAACTGACATCATATGCAGGCTGAAGCTTACCCCTTTAGGCTCCATTCACACCTAGGCATCAGCATTTTCACGCAAATTAGCATGCTTTTGATTAGCGTCTCATCTAGCTAGTTTTGCACATTTTGTGCATGTTAGTTGCGCGTTTTATTGAGCAGACTGAATTGCATTGTGGCGAATGACCAAACATGTGTAAAAATACACCCAGAAATGTGCAAACTGCTTGTGTCGCGCATTTCCATTAAAGTCTGAGGCCAAACGTGCCGCCATCTGCCAAAAAAAGCTCATGTACTTTTTCCAGCGTTCTGCGTTTTAGAGCTTGCGATAAAACTCAGGGGTGAACAGGGGCTGTTGAAATGAATGCGATTGCTTGTGTTGATAGTTTTCTTGTGCTTAGCTTTGAGCGTCAAAATGCCTAGGTGTGAAAAGGAACTTAAACTATCGATGAAAGTAGATGCAAAAGTAACGTTCCTTTGTAGCTGCATCTGTTTTTTTTTTTTTTTTTTTTTTTTTTTTTTTTTACAGCAGCAGGTTATAGGCCTCAATCACAATTTTTTTTGCGCTTCTAATTTTTGGTGCATCTGAATGTGCGACAAGGAAGCTCATGCAGCTGTTCGAGCTGTAAGCTTTGTGCACAAACACGTCTTTCTGCCATTAACAGTTATGGCACTGCAACACACTTTTTGCACGTTCTGTACCCAAGTATGAAACATTCTACTCAACAAATCTTCCCCATTTTCTCCCCCTCTTCATAGTATTTGAGGTTGAATAAAGACATAAGTCCATCCTATTGCGTGTATGCATTTATGTTCGAGCAGGTGTGTATTAGTCCATGTGTGATTTTGCTCTTAAGAGTACTGGTACCCCTTTATGTTATGGTTTCCAAGAAACTTGTCCAGGAGTTTCTTAAATGATTCCACACTCTTAGCTGAAATTACTCTCTGTTCCAGACCCTAACCGTTCTAACTGTGAAGAACCCCCTGCGCCCCGTGTGTTGAAATTTTTTCTCTACCAATTTTTGGTGATGCCCTCTGGTCTTTGTTACGGAGCTAGCCGTAAACAGTTTGGTAATAATGTTGCTGTCACCATTGAACAGTTTATACAAGATGATCATGTCCCCCCTTAACCTCTTGCCATCCGCCCGTTAAGAAAAAACGGACGGACGGCTGACTCCTATCTGCGGGTTGCCGTCGCCAGACGGCATTTTTTTCCTGCTCGCGCAGATCGGTTGTATGGCGTTAATTTCTGAGGCCCCCACCCCCCCGCGCGATCGCGGGTGCCGCCATCTCCCCCCTCCTAACCCCTCACCTTTACTCCCGCGATCCGCTGCCCCATCTGCGGCCCGGTACCGGCTCGGGAGGGCATCAGGAGGAGGAGGGAGGGAGATCAGCTCCTTGCTGTTCTCCCTCCGTAGTGTGAATGCAGAAGTGATGTGTATTACATCACTTCCGCATTCACCTGTCAGTCATCTGGCTCCTATGCCAGATAGAAGAAGCTGATGAAGCAAATCTGTGCTTCATCAGCTTCTTTTGGGGTCTCCAGGTGACATTAGGGGTCTAGAGACCCCTAATGTCTCCATAAAGAGGACCTGTCAGTGTACCTGTGCTATTATATAGGGGGATGGTATCCCCCTATATAATAGCAATAAGAATAAGTGTAAAAAAAAAATCTATATAAATAAAAAAAGTTAAAAAAAATAAAAGTCACAAACAAAAAAAGTTTAAAAAAATAACAGGTCACAAATAAAAAAAAGTAAACCCCCCCCCCAATGTTTAAGTCCCCCCACCTTCGTTTACGCACATTTAAACGTAAATATGCGTCGCATGCGCCAGCACGCGAAAATGACAATTGCGCTACACATGTTACATATCGCCGCGAACGTCGCAGTGAGAGCAATCATTTTAGGGCCATCAATCACTGATAACACTAAACTGATGAGCGTTAAAAGCTTTTAATGCGTCGCCTATGGCCAATTTTGGGTAATTTAGTTTTTGTGAGGTTTCGCGCGCGTGCGCAATTTTAAGTCTTGACATGTTTAGTGTCTCTTTACCCGACTAGACCCCGTCTTTTATATTTTACCAAAAAATTGGGAAATTATAAATGTTTTAGAATTTAATATAGGGGAAACTGTTTTTTTTTTTTTAAATCTGTAATTTTTCCTTCATATATAAAAAAATAAAAACCCCAGTGGTGAATAAATACCACCAAAAGAAAGCTCTATGTGTCCCCAAAAAAGGGTATAAAATTCATTTCAGTACAGCGCTGCATGACGGAATAAATGTCAGTTAAAGTACCGCAGCGCTGAATACTGAAAAATGGCCTGGATGGGAAGGGGGTTTAACACCGCGGATGTCAACGGGTTAATCTCCTAACCTCTAACGAGAACATATTTAATTTTAAAACCTTGTCTCAGTTCAGGTCCTTGAACCCCTTTATGAGTTTGGTAGCCCTTCGCTGGACCTTTTTCAACTCAAGGACATCTTTTCTGAGTATCGGTGACCAAAACTGGACCGCATACTCCAGATGAGGCCGAACCAATGATGTGTACAGTGGCAAAATTATAGACTTGTCCCTGCAATACATTCCCTTCTTAATGCAAGACAGGACTCTGCTTGCTTTGTTTACAGCAGTCTGGCACTGCGAGCTGTTCCTCAATCTGCGGTCTATAATGACCCCCAAATCCTTCTCCGTTTGCGACATTCCTAGTGGCACACCCATAAGTGTATAGTACATTTGCCTATTTTTAACTCCAAGGTGTATTACCTTACATTTATCGACATTGAACTTAATCTGCCATACAGTTGCCAACTCCGAGTTTATCCAGGTCCTCCTGTAGTGTTATATCTAAATCCGTGTCTATTACCCTCTCAATCTTCACTAGGTCATTAACTGTCAACCATAGACATATATCACTATTAAAAATCTTTGCTGCGCCATCGATAAAGTATATTTGAAAGACATGGCACACAAAGTAGTACAAAGTAAGAAATGAACTCTCTGTGGTAGGATACTGAGAAAAAAAACAACTATTTTTAGTGATAGAAAAGACTCACCCAAAGACAGTCACCCAAGTATCATCCAGGTGATCGTCAGAAGTCAACGCATCGCCTTGTGTATAAAATGGATCTAGCTGAGCAGGTGACAGTGTCGCTTTTCTACTGTGATTAATGGTTGCTGGGCTAAAGACACTGGACGCTGTTTAAAAGCAATAATTAACAATTTACATACAGCAAATACAGACAAAAACAGTTTCCATACAACTCACTTTCAAAGACAGGCATAGCAGAATCATCTACCTTCCATATTTTTGTTTTTCTAATGCAAACACTAACACTACAAGTTTAAAACTGTGCATGCATACTTGCAAATCTGTGTTAACTTTTGCATTATCCTTATGCCACCGTGCTTAGTTTATCAGCATTAGTGGAATTAAGTTCTCTCCCCACCCACTCCCCTTGGTTCTCTTTAGGGTCAAGGGAGGACATACACTGGCACCCTCCCATGACCCAAAGCTCAGTATATCGCGAGCTAGAGCACGCGGTATACTGAGACCGCCGCAGCCAGGACAGATCCCGACAATGCTGTCGAGGATCCACCCAGCCACGTTATTGACAGCTGGCTCTGCCTATCTAGAGGCAGAGCCAGCTGTGCCCGCACCTTCCCCCGTCCGTTCCTCGCCCCGCAGGGAAAAACAATGCTAGTAGAGGTGACTGACAAGTCACGGCTCTCTGCAGAGAGATAGAGAAGGGAACGAGGGACTGTATGCGTTCGCTCACTTCCTCATCTATTGAGCCGTGTGACCATTTCATCGTCACACGCCGGCTCAAACTATGAGGATGAGTGATTTCTCACCTCATAGTTTTCCTTTAAGCCAGTCATAAACTGGTAAACTCTCATATGAACAAGCTAGTCCAAAAACTAGCCAGTACCTCAGAGACTTGAACAACGTCATTGGAAATTTAAATTTGGAATGAATGAAGTTTCGCAAACAAAACCATTCACTGTTCTTGAACATTAGAATTTTGCTTGGTCAATAAGAATTTCCCATTCTGCTCCAATCATCCCCATTAAAGATAGAAAATGGAATGAACATTCCAAAAAACACATTTTTTCAAATAAAAAAATTCTACTGGTGTACAGCTAGCTTAAGGTGTGGAATGTCTGACATCTGAGCTGTAAAGCTTGCAGAGCTAAAGCAAAGAGTTCACAATAAATCCCAGGCTTGGGGTTAGATGGTTTTGCAAGTGTGCATGCATTATTTTTAACTTGCAATTTGAGTGTTTGCATTAACAAAAAAAAAAACAAAAAAAAAAAAAAAAAGGTTTTATGGAGACACTCAGACAACAGTATACACAAGGCAACAATATTAAACTATTAGGGGACACTAAAATATCAAAATTGTCCAGTGGAAAATAATTTGATTTTGGAGATGGTGATACTCTGCACATGCAGGCATATAGAAGGTCATTTTGGGAACCTTGCCTCTAAATGAATGCCAACTAAAATGTATCTAGTTTGCAAATCCTATAAGACAGTGTTAAACCAAAGCTTTTTCAGAACACGGACACAATTGTAACTTCTGTGCATGCTCATGTTTTTGTTAAAGTGCTATTGCTGACGAACAGAACAATTATATTCAAATGTTTGTGTACTGAATAGGCACAATGCAGAACCAGTGTTTTAGCTGAACTCTATTATAGGACCTTGCTCTACATAGTTGTGGACACATTCAATTCATTCACAATAACCCTGCATGTTATATTGGATACATATGTTAAATATTGTTTATTCATTATTAGGACATAGATGATCAGACCACATTTTTATGATTCATGCAAAAAATAAAAAACTGTAAAACTAAATTTTTACAAAAAAAATGTTAAGGAATTTCCTATGCTTGCGCCCATCTAGTGGCAAAAACGTTGGCTAGGTGTTGTGGCAACGTCTGTTCTGCAGTGCCATCTGTGTGCTGTGCTGGTGTCCGTTGCAATAAAATGACAGAGTGGTACAATGCATGGCAGTGCAGTGGTATCTATGCATAGAATTGATTATGGCTCTGGACAGCTGTACAACATGGGGACAGGCCTTAGCAGTAGGAGGGGTAGTTCCGTTTGGTCCTGTGTACAGCTCTAGACCTATGATCCCAGTGTCTTTGCAGGGACCAATATGTATAAAGTGACATTAAACTCAGGAGTTAAATCTTAAAAATGCACTCAAGTACATTATCTATTAACAAAAATGTATCTTATGTGTGTATCACTCGGCTGTAGATCCTCAAATCATCTCTCAATTGATGCCGACACTGTCCTTCCTGCTGGAGGGTGACTACTTTTGTTCCCCATGGTCCCTGTGTGTGTTGTAACATAGCCACAGCTCCAAGCTCGCTCCTGTGATAGACTAGAACGTCAATACAAATTAGTAGACTAAACATGAGATTGTAGTCCATCATGGGAAGAGAGCTTGGAGTGGTGATTTTACACACACGGGGACCATGGGAAACAACAGCCCCCCTCCAGAAGGAAGGACAGTGTCAGCACCAATTCAGAGATGATTTGAGGATCTACAGCCGAGTGATACACAAGATACATTTTTGTTCAAAATGAATGACAAGTACCTCAACTATTCTTCTGCATTAAAAGATTACATATAGATTATTATTCAAACAACTTACTTCCACCTGGAGTTGACGGCATGAAACCAGAAAGAGGAGTCTGCATTGCAGAAAAGCTGGGCTGCTGGGGATGGAAGGAAAATTAAAGTAGGACTGACAAGCATTACTTACACACTACACGAAGAGGGGACGGTTCTACAACCTACTATTGTCCTAATGCATAGAGCAGTAAAACCAGTAAAGTAAGACCTTACTGCCAGGAAATGGAGCGCTGGAGCCAGGAATTTACAATGTTCCACAACTCCACCTAGTGGCGGTAATGTGCCTCGAATGTCATTCACACGGATATACACTGCACAAACACATCATAAATCGGCTCCTAAGCGTATGTGGTAACTGGATCAATCATCTTCCCCCATGATCCAGGCATTCCACTTAAACATCTTTTTATCTTTCCCTATACTGACTGACCTGCTCCAATATACTAATGGATGGTAACAGATGTGCTTTAATACTTGTAATGAAGAAAACACAGTTCCAGGCTCCTTCCAGTACTAAAACACAATCAACTGCAAAGGCATTGGGCATGTGACATTGGCTGATCGGGAAGATCAGAATTCAGCCAGAGCTGCTAATTGGCCAGCTGCATCCTCATTCTCGCCCCTAAGCCACTTTGGCTGAAAATACAACAACGAATAAACATTGATCTGTTAGAGAGGAGAGGGGGGCAGTAAGCTTACAGGACAGATCTGCATTAAACAAATATGGAAATGGCAGTGAACTCACCAGTTTTCTAGAATTAAGAGGCGTTGACCCAAGACTTGGACTTGTGATGTCATCATAAAGACTCTTAACTGGAGGAGCACCGCTTTTATCTTTATGAGATGGCAATACAGGATGGAGAGGGGAGCCGCCTAAAATGTGGAGAGAACAAATTCCTACAATAACTAAAAATTGTTAATTTACAATAGTCTGAGGACTCTCCCTAGTCCCATGTCACAGCAGTGGGCAGCTGGAGAGCCAATCACCATCACGAGTAGGGAAAAGGGAGCCAGTCACATGATCTCCACACCAGCAAGTACCCTGCATTTCTCTTGGCACAAAAAAGTCGAAACAGTGGTGGAGACAAACGTGTGTTGCAGGGGAAGGAGACAATTAGTGAACCTTTGTACAAACAGAAGCCGCACACCATGCAGACGCGTAAAGAGGATCTGCGGAGCGTCTGTATGGTGTATCTGTTATTTGCACAGTAATAAAGTGTGGATTCAAGTTATAAGATCTATGGAGTGCAGCTTCTGTTTTTATTAGTGTTACCACAGGTGAAAGCGCAACTTTTCTTTGCCAGCCAGCACCCAGGAGACCTCCATTGCGGGAGTCCACGCACGGAATTGGAGCGGTGAGTGTTTGCGCAGTCGTATTAAGTGAACCTGTTGCTTTCCCATGCATACATTTAAGCAACTGCTGTAAATATTAATAAAAGTCCAGATTGACTTTTTCCGTCTGTAATCATATCTGAATGCTAAGGCTAATACTACAAGTATCTCTTTAGTTATATTTTTTCCCAAATCTGGTCCAAACTAAAAGTTAAACCTTCATGTGCCAGAAAAGTAGAATTAGAATGTTACGTCACAAGCACCTATATACTATACTAATAGTACTATATAATTGCACATTTTTCCACAAAGCACAGCTTGCCATCGTTGTAGTATGCACGCTGGAGAGATAAATGTTTGATAATGTACACTTGACATTCTAAAAGGAAAAATGCTGATAGGTGTTTCCAGGCGTATGGTTTACATACAGATTGGGTGTCACCCAGGAGAGCTAAACAAGGGCTGCATCACCAGCACAAGTGACTTTACAGCCCATGTTTATTTTAGGATCTATGGATTACAAAGACACAAGAATGATGCTAGGGAACAGCTGGAGTGCTGATCATGAATCAGTTTCAGCAAATACTGCACTCACTGACTGGGGAAAGTCACATTCTACAGTAACACAAACTCACCAAAAAGGAAACATGGTAAAGCACAAAACTCAGTCATCTGAAAAGCTCTTAGCCCTATTTTTTTACTGCAGTGTTTGGAAGAAACTTCTTACATTTCTAAGACGACAAGGCCCTGCTTTTAACCATTTAAAGACCGGGGTTTTAAGCATCCTTCCTCTGCAGACCATTTTCAGTATTCAGCGCTGCAATACTATGACTATTCAGTCATGAAACACTGTACCAAAATGGATTTGATATTTTGGGGACAGAGATTTCTTTTGGTGGTATTTAATCACCACCTTTTTTTTACTATATAAAGGCCTGCAAATAAAGATTTTCATAATCAATTAGCTGGCTGATTAATTGTTCGATACATACATACAGGCAGTCCCCGGGTTACACACAAGATAGGGACTGTAGGTTTGTACTTTAGTTGAATTTGTATGCAAGTCGGAACAGGTAAAAAAAATTAAGTGTAACTCTAGACAAAAAAACATTTTTTAGTTTTGGATAGCATAGGGAAGGGTCACGTTTGTTTTGCTGTCTGTTCCTGTTCAGAAGATATAATAAAAATATTATTTTATTTAAAATAACACCGAAAAGTTTTTTTCCATTTTAAAATTTTATAAACTATTTTTTTTAATTTGTTTACATTTTACTTTTTAAACTTTTTTTATTTAATGCTGGGAGCAATAGCCAGCCTATTGGATATTTCAAATAGGAGGCCGGAACAGCAGCGGAGGTACGGGGGGCAGCGGAGGAATGCAGCTGTCTGTGTCCCCGCCCCAATAGCAGGGTGGCTATTACACCCTTGCTACAAAGGCTGGTTATAAAAATTGTGGTTACTATTTATTTCTAGTTTGACTATTGTTGATGTGCAGACGCACAGGGGGCCCCCAGCGTGTATTTTGGATTGCTGGGCCTCCAGTGCGTCCCTGCACCTTTTGAGGAGGAGTAGGCTACCTTCAAATAGACCTGCATTTAATTTATCAACTGCAGTAATATGCTCCAACATGGAGACTCATAAATAGCGTTAGGACCACACTTCACAGAGCAGCCTTGACGGGGCAGTGTGGCTTCTACATATTTTTGGCCAAAGGTTTATGCAACTAAAACCTATGTTTTTAACGCATACTGTTAGACAGGGACATTTGTTTTGGTGCAGGCTAGCTGGCAAGTGTGGGGACTTTGTTTTGTATGGTTATTACACCCGCCCACTGCCGGTTGTCAATCAGCAGAGGAGGGACCAAAGGAGAAAGTTTTCCTTCAAGTCCTACTGCTGATTGATAGCAGGCAGTGAGCGGTTGCAATAGCCAGCCTGCTGTTGCACCTGCTTTGACGCCAGCTTTCTACAACCGGCAAAAGAGAGCATAGTAGGTTCACAGAAAGCAGGGGATCCATGGCATGGGCAGCAACAGAGCGGCAAGGGAAGCAGCGGATCCAAGGCGGAGGCACGGGAAGTAGCGGATCCAAGGCACAGCAGCTGCTGCAGCAGTCAGTGTCCTCTACAGGATGGCAGAGAAAAGGGTGGAGCACAGCGGCGCCAGCAACTAATTGAAAATCAAATAATCGATCATTAGAATCGTTGACAACATGGAGGTGGGGGACTTAATTTTTTTTTTTTAAATATGCAATCGATCGTCACACTTTTACTTACACTTAACTTCATTGCTATCACATAGGGGGCCGCACAGTCTCCCATGTACCATACAAGTGATTGGGCAACTATAGAACTCTAGTATGCAACAGCCGTCACCAGCTGTTTAATGCGTTTAAAGTGTCATGGGGCGCGCAGGAGCAGGAAAGGAACCCGCAGTTTATGTACTGCAACCCGCTGGGAAGAGCATGCCGTCCATCCGTTTATATACAACAGGCGGACAGCAAGCAGTTAGAGATCAGTCAGCACACACAAACATTCCATCCACTGCACTTCTTTAAAAAGGAGAACTATGGGGTCAGTGTTTCTCCCCATAGTTCTCCTTAGGGTAACGGGAGGAGACAAACTAGCGTCCTCCCCGTTACCCTAAGCTCAGTATACCGCGAGCCACAGCTCGCGGTATACTGAGACGCCGCAGCCGGAGCGGATCCCGGCGTAGATGACTGGATCCGCCCAGCTGCGTGAGTGACAGCTGGCTCTGCCTATCTAGAGGCAGAGCCAGCTGTACCCGCCCCCTCCCGCGTCTTTTCTGCCAGTCAGCTCTGGCAGATGGGAGAGGGGAATCCAGCCCCTCCCCCTGTCACGGCAGAGAGCCATGACAGGATCGAGAGGCGAGCGAACCCGGTATGTGTTCGCTCACCTCCCGATCTACTGAGCCGACCTGTGACAGTCTCATTGTCACAGCTCGGCTAGAACTATGGAGGTGAGTGAAAAGCACTCACCTCATAGTTCTCCTTTAAACAGTGGAAGTAGCTGTCACTTTCTATAATAAAACAGCAAATGTAGCACAACCCATCTCATTCCTTGATCTTGTAGGACAGTGCAGCCCAGAGCCCTCATCTCACATTTCCACTTCCTGAATGTGGAAAATAGGCACATCCTCCTCCAGAATCCCACATTGTGACGGCCTGGTGGCTCAGTATACAACTTATTATGAAGTGAGAGTATAACTTTATATTGGAGGGGTGTGCCTAGAGTAATGCATAGGGTTCACTGAGATACCAAGATAAGGTCTCCACGGACATAACCATTTTAGGACTCCTACAGGCAGAACAGCGCCATCACATAATGCAACCAGAGCTACACGCCGCCAGCTTGTGCGGTCATCTTTTACATCATATGCAATTTATAAATCATCTTTTGACCCCAAATTCATTTTAATTTTGGGCTTAAAGAGGACCAAAAGACTCGTCAACAATATGGAAGCTATCTTAGTACATGCAGCATCAAAGCCTCCAGCAAGGAGAACAGTGAGCAAGCAGCACAGCTATAAAAACAAAACAAAAAAAGGAAATCAGTAACTGTCCAGCGTCTACCAGCACCCAGATTCCTCTGATTTGGTGGCATAGCTGAACAAAGGATGGCGCCCGTCCATAAAGAATAATGGCTGCTTGCCGGGTGCGTATAGCAAGTGGGCACAATGCTCATCCTTGCCTAGGAAATGTCCCTAGCTTGGCAAATGAACCAAATATAACAGGTATAAGCTCCAAGCTAGTGAAGACTGAAGTAGCCCTAGCTAAAGGACCAGGGAAAAAGTGTCTGCACTCATAATGGAAGCATGTGCCTTAGTCCATTACAGTGATTAGATGCATAAAATAATAGCAGTAATCATTTTCCATTACCTCCCATCATAGGGGAACGTAGCTCCATAACTCCCATGGACGGCCGCGGCTGTGGCGTTACTGGCGTCGGTATATCTCCCATTAAGAAGCCAGGCAAAAACTGGGCTCCGGCTCCAGGTTTTGGAGATGTTGGTGATCCTAACGTCATTGGTTCACCTACAGAAAGACCAAATGTATTACCAGAAAACGTCAATTAATTTAAAAAGACCCCTGACTCATCCTTTCATGAGACAGCGCTGGTGCTTGGCCACCGAGATGTCCGCACCATTACATGGAGTAGGAAGAAAGTCTTCAGTCATGGGTAAGCTCCAAACCATGTCTCAGAGCTTACACAGGGCTACTCCTTATCCCAATGGCCAACTGGAGTGGCACAGGGGACAAATAATGTGACCCCAAAATATTTGCAATTTAGACCCCAGTAAAACCATCAACATTTTGGGTCCACCACACTGGTTTGCACCTGTGTTGTAGGGGGGGGTCACAGGGGCAGTCATATCTTCCCCCTTACAAAAGCCAACTCCATAACCTGGCATGAAAATGTGTTTGGAACCAGCAATGGAGACCAGTCATAACGCACCCCGACTCTACAGGCTTGGGGCTCGTTTACAGCAGACCACACATTACAATGATCTGTTTTAGCACGTAGGCTGGTGTCTGTGTACCGGTGGTGGGGAACAGTGCATTGCATTTTCACAACGCAAGGTTAACTTTGTTTTCTTTTTTAAATAACTTTGACAAGTCAGAAAGTAACATCTATGGGGCTCTACTGTTCAGGTACAGCTAGGGGAGGGAGGACTGGCGGCACCCAGGATGGTACCAATCCTCGGGAGTGGGAATGAAGTATACATCTACAGGAGGGGAGGGGAGGGTCGGCAAAAATAGGTGCAGTTTATCTGAAAGTGCACTTAGTCTTTCAAATCCTGCAGGTAAAAAAGGACAGAAAAAAAAAAATCAGGAAATTTAAATGCTCACTTGCAGCATTTTCCTTCCCATTAACAATTTGTTATTCACTAGCAATGTCCCTTTGAACGTGGCAAGCAATTTCACTATGCCAGGAAGAGTCAATTTCCCAGCAAAGCCTCCTCCCTCAATGCCCTAGCCCTCTCCTCTTGTGCGAGTGTGTACTGACCCAACACACACACCATTTTAGGTACCAGAAGGAGAGGAGTGAAGAGGAATACTATACTTAGGAATACTCTTCACCATGCACTCCCATCCAAACATCTGAACATTTCTCGGGCTTCCACAAAAGGATCTTGGGGTGGGCGCACACGCAGTTCAGATGTTCGGCCGGGAGACGAGGAGACACAAGGTAAGTCTATGGAGCAGCATGCACCCGCACAGACTCCGTGGGACATGAGAGAAGAGGACAGGAGGAGTCAGCGCTGGATCGGAGACCCGCACCCAGTGCTGGAGGGACAGCTGAAAACTACAGGAAATAATTTTTGGATTAAGAGACATAATTTAAAGTAAGACCTTAGAGAACTATGGAGTCAGTGTTTTTCCCCATAGTTCTCCTTAGGGTAACGGGAGGACACAAACTAGCGTCCTCCCGTTACCCTAAGCTCAGTATACCGCGAGCTACAGCTCGCGGTATACTGAGACGCCGC